AGTGTGGATGTAATTGAATTTTTTTTTGGAAAAACAGCTGTTTTTCCGGGGGGGGGGAAAAAATTGTAGTATAGACATATTCTGATAGAGTGATAGAGGCAGTGGGCAGGCAGCACTGCAGAGATGGTGCTGGAGAAAGCTGGCTTTTAAGCCAGCTCCCCCCAGTACCGACTCCTGTTTTTCGCCCCCAAGGGCTGGTGTGAAGTGAGTAGTCAATACTCTACTCCACTCGACTACACGCTAGCATCCCTAAATTCTAAGAGTGGTAAACAAGGTGGACAAAGCCAGGGTTATCTTCATAGTACTGACCTGAGTAATGTAAGCATGATATCCTTGCCTGCTTCACAGATGTCTCCAACTGGTGTTCAAACTTCTGGCAACCTCTCATCTGTCCAAAGGCATGGGCCATGTGCTTCACCCCAACTGGGCATCTTCAAGCATGGCTCCTAGATGGTTCACAGGATTAAAATTCATTTTGCTCAACAGGAATACAAGTATTATTGAACAATGGAAGGAAGTCCATTTGAATTACACTCAGAAATGGAAGCGATTCAACCACTAATGTTAGTCAGTGCCTTCTGTCTGAATCTTCTCTACTCTCAGCTATCTTGGATTAACTCCTGGACTTAAAAATCAAGTTTATCAATTGGCTCTATTAAAGTTCCTCTCTCTGAAGTATCAGCTTTTCATTCCCCACTAGAGGTGTTTTCTGTTTTTGCACATCATACATGCTCAAGATTTCTTAAGGGTCTGAAGATTCTAGCTCCAGGTAAAGAATCTTACTCCTATTTGGATCTCAACCTGGTACTTAGATGCCTTTTTTATAGGCTTTCCATTTGATCCTGCTTCTTGCTTCATTTATTTATGAAAATGGCCTTTGTAGTAACGATCATGTCAGCACACATGCTTGAAGAAATTGGGTGGCAGACCCGCTCCTCATTTAACAATATTTTTCAAGGTCATGGTGTTCCTATAATTGCATCCAAAGTTCTTACCTAAGGTACTGTCAGATTTCTAGCTTAACCAGTCTGCTTATTAACTGGTATTTTTTCATAAACTACATAAATGTTAGCAGGAAACTTCTCTTCATATATTAAATGTGCAATGGATAGGAATCAATCAGTTTCAGAAATTACCTAGAATAGATTCTGCCTTCTTTGCAGAATGATCAGAGGGGACCACAGTCTCTATGAAGAGGCTATCAAAATGGATTGCTGTGTGCATTACTGCTTGCTGCAGTGCAGGAAGAGGCTTTGCTTCTCCAAAATATTATAGTGCTGTCTGTCAGGTCCTAAGCAACTTCCATAGCATTACAAACCTTTCAAAGTCTGAGAGACACACTGAAGCCCAAGAAGCCATTCTATATAACTTTTCTAAACAGTGTCTTGGTCTGTGCTGATAGGCATCTCCCTTTATTCATCTATCTCCTAGAGCTGGAAGAGACCTTGAAAGGTCATCAAGTCCTGCCCCCACCTTCACAGCAGGACCAGGTACCATCGCTGACAGATTTGCCCCAGATCCCTAAATGGCCCCCTCAAGGATTGAACTCTCAACCCTGGGTTTAGCAGGCCAGTGCTCAAACCACTGAGCTATCCCTCGAGTTAGAGCCAATGTGGCAGTTGTTTCTGCTTTGCTGTCTGCAGACTAGATTTGATTTTGCAACTGTGCTCCCTGTGAGGATACTGCTTGGAAGTCACCATAGAGAAACTACTTGTAGAATAAGAAAAGGCTGCCCTCAGTTTGTGCAGTAATTGTGGGGGTTTTTTGAGATGTCTCTATGGCTACACGACCACCTGCCTTCCTTCCCTTCTTCTTTGGACTGTTCTTATTGGACACATAGAGAAGCTCACCTGTGGAGCGCTGTATGTGCTTGGAACATGGCAGAAAGTTTTATAGAGCATGCATGGAGGATAAACTGCTCTTATAATGGAAAATCCCTTATAATGGAAGACTCTTATAATGGAAAATCCCTGATCAAAGGCTTGAGAGGTGTGCACACACACCTCAGATGGAGCATCCATGGTAGGGGACACATCTCAAAGGACCACAGTGGCTGCACAAAGTGAGTGACATCGTCTTTTATTTCCTGCATAGTTTTGAGGGGAAATTATCTTGTGCAACCAAGAGCACTAAAAGACCTATTTTCCCCCACAAATTGGTTTACTTACCAGTTCTATGAGCTGACTTTAGTCTGTTTGGGGTCAGGTACCATTAGGTACATAATCTTGTAGTAACTTCCTTTGGTTCTTGATGTTCTTCTCTAGCTCTGTCTCCAGACATCAGCAAGAACAGAATGTTCCTGCCTCAGCCTGTTTTCTCTCACATTCTTGAAAGTGTATTCATATAATTTTAAACTTCAATCACTTCCACACTGCTTACTTGTTCTAACTATACTTCTTTTTGACCCTCCCTCAGATTTAAAACGTCATATGGACTTGCCTCACAGACAGTGTCTCTCTTCTCTTTCCATTTTGTCTATACTTTCTTGAATGGAGCTAAAAGTGTCTTGCTTGCAAAGCACATTTAAAAAAAAATCTCTCTCCTCAGGAGTTTATGGCTTTATGCCCAAGTCTAGACCTAAAACATAAATTAACTAAAGTATGTCCCTTAAGGGTATGAAATATGCATACCCTGAGCGACATAGTTAAGACCAAGTAATTTCTGGTGTAGACACCATTAGGTTAACAGAAGAATTCTTCTGTTGACCTAGTTACTTCCTTTTGGAGGGGTAGATAATTGCAGTGACAGAAAACCTCCTTCCATTGGTATAGCAAGTGTATATAATGTTGAGTAATTTAGCTGCTCTGCTGCTGTAGCACTTCTAATCTAGATCTGCTTTTAGATCCTGATCCTGTAATTTTATTGTGCAGGGCAGGGTAGAGCACTGCACCAATTCAGAGCCCCTCCGACATCACAAGATTTTGAAATGGGATCAATATGAGCAGACTCCTCTGTTTGTTTAAGGCAGTCCCATTAAAGTAATTTAGATTCCATGTTTTCATAAATATTATTTCTTTGCAGGATAACGGCTTAAATATCCAATGTACAGCTGAAAGGTAGGCTAGGAACAGGACTGTAATAAAAAGCATGGTGTTAATTAACATGCAACTGGATACTTCTGTGTTCATATATTCAGTTGTATTTTTGTCATCTGTCTTTAATGCTTCTTTGAGACAAAACTGGGTTCCATAAATGTAGAGAAGAGGCCTATTTTCAGGAGAAACTGGAAGAAAGAAGGGGTGAGTTGGAGGCATGATTGGACCTGGTATTAACCTGTGTGTTCTGTGTCTTATCCTACCAGAACTGGGAAGGGTGCTCTCAGCTACAGACAGACAGGTGTTTAATCTAGTAGCTCAAACAAATCTAAAAAATTGCAATGTAACCAGGGATAGCATGGGTAATGACTTTGGCTAGCTTGGAATATAAACTCACCTGAATCTCCTAGCCACGTACCCAGGGAGTGACTAGTGCAGTTATTCAGGAGGGGTCCGGATTTACTGCTGAGGTGTCCTCAAAGGTCTCTGGCTCCTCTGAAGAGGCCAGTGCTTTGTGTGTGTGTGTGTGTGTTCCAGACACGGTACCAGCATCTCCAGTCAGAGCTTAACAACTTTTCCCCTGCAGTACCGGCACTTTTTTTTTTTTAAATAAACAAAAAATGCACTGCAGAAGGCTGCTCACGTTTATGCTTAGTCATGTGTACCGTGTTGACTTGTGCACTTAGTCTCCACAGCAGACCTCAAGAAAGCCCCCAAAAACCACAAATCAGAAAAGGATCGAAGGCGCCGGGCCAGGTTTATTGTTAAGCGAAGTACAGTAACAGTTGACAGACTCTACTGAACCACTACGCATATGTACCCCGTAACAATGGAATGACTCAATCAATGGGAAATTTCCATTGCCCCCTAGATCATACAAAGACTGTCCTCCCAAGACAGCACTTTATATATAGGTACTAACAACTTACACGTTAGTGCTGATGTGTCAGGTGGCTATCCTCTGATGTTGTCAGGTTACCACCCTCTGATGCTACTTAGATACCACCCATCACCCTGTAGTTCATGGTTTGATTACATCATCTCTGTCCATCATGCTGTCATTTTAGATCCTTTCCTGAACCTTCCCTTTCCTGTATCTGTGGGGAGTGGGTCATCTTTAATGAGCTGGTAGTACCATGTGCTTTCCACTTACGACCAGTACCAATTGCTGTGCTACATCTCAGTCTATTACCAATTAGTGTTTTGCATTCTCAGCCTTGTTTATGCCAAGTTCTGTGAGCGGGGCCTGCCTCTTGCTCACAACTTAGCTTTGCTTTATGTTAGCCATGTTTTGTCCATTGTTAGCTAGGCCTCAGGCCTCAAACTAGGCCCGTGTTAGCTATGTGGGCTTTTGTTTTAGGCCTTCATGTTACTATAACTAGCTTGTACTACCACAAACTCTACTTCCATTTTTAATATGCTTATCTCGAGGAGCACTAGCATGTCTGTCTACCTGTGCTAGAAGTCCACTTCCAGCTTCAGTGTAGATGTACCCATAATAAGCTTGTCACTCTAGCCTTTTGGGAAGTGGGGCCATCTTCATGTATCTCTGGTTTATCAACTCTGTTTTTATTTTAAATCTCTGTTGAGGACTTAATTTTTCTACCTCTCTTTCTTCACTTACTGTCTGATTTACTCAGCCAAACATGAGAGAGCATTTTTGGAAAATGAAATTTGAGAAATCATAATAATTAAAAAAAAATACATTTTGAGATAAAATACTTTCTACTACTTAGCTCTGAATATGGCTTTCTATGGAAGGAAGATGCTATCAGAATTGTTTTGTGTTATGGAAAGAGTAAGAAGAATATGGATTGACTGTACATAAAATAATATCATTTATATTTTTGAATTAGAGATAAATATGCTGTTGAATTACCATTATTATTGTTGAATTCATATTTCTAAATAATACACAGACTCACTAAGAAAAATGATTTTAATTGTAACAATAACTTTATTAAGGTGAACCACAGTTCATTGAGTGGGAGAAGGACAGTGATTTTGGGGATGATGATGAAGAATGTAATGGATCAGGAAAAGATGACAAAGCCTTGGACATATCAGACTCGGATTCGTGTGCAAACAGTAATTCTCTGCCTCTTGAAGAGAAGGAAGATGAATTGCCTAAGGTGAGAACATGTCTCTGCTTAAAAAATAAAACTAAACATAACTATGCAGTATATTACGGTTTGGAATAACTGATTTGGGTGGAACATGAGGTTCTTCTGGTTTTATTTACCTCTTCTCTCTAAAAAGAGCCTCACAAACAAAAATATTTCAAATTCTCATTCTTTCCCCCTTCTACAAAGAAATAATCAGTATGACCAGAGACAATAGTAGAGTGGGAGTCTTATTGTTCTTAAGACTTCACATGAGATCTGATTTAGGATATAAATTGTTAATTCATAAGAAAGGTACATAATGTCATATGCACTTTAACTGGTATGGGTTTTTGCGTTAGTGCTATGCCAAAACAGTTTCAGCAATTAGACCTTGCAGCAGCTTTCCTATGCTAGGATAATCTCTAAGATATGCACTGTTACTCATTTGGTGAGTAATAATTATGGGGTGAAGAGAAGGTCCTCTCATAGATCAGAAACTGATTAAAAAACTGGAATAAAGGAGTCAGAATAAATAGCAGTTGTGAGAATGGAGAGAAGAAAATAATGTTGTTGTCCAGAGATCTGTACCGGGAATAATGCTGTTCAGTTTATTCATAAATGAGTTGGTAAAAAGGGTGAACAATGAGAGAGTAAAATTTGCTGATGAAACAAAATTATTTGAAATGGTCAAATCCAGAACAGTCTGTGAAGAGCTACAAAGGATTTCACAGAACTGGGTGACTAGATAAGATTAAATTCTATGTACACTGGAAAACATAATCCCAACTATACATATGAAATGATGGGGTCTCAATTAGCTGTCACCAGTGTTCCCTGGAAAATGAGCACGTGGGTTGACATCCAGGAGAGGTTTATATGCCACCAACCTGATTAGCAGAGCACTGATAGTGTCCCACAGCTGACAGCACATCCTTCTAATGGTGGTGCACATATGTATCTGCCTCAGTGCATATAACAAAATTTATTCCACACATGGGTGGAAAAAATTAGAGGGAACATTGGCTGTCACTACTCAGAAGAGAGTTCTTAGTTATTGTCAATAGTCCTCTGAAAACATCCGCTCATTGTGCAGTTAAAAAGCTAACTATGCTAGGAACCATTAGGAAAAGGATAGTTAATGAAACAGTAAATAGCATAATGCAACTACATAAATCCATGGTATGCCCACACCTTAAATACTGTGTGCAGTTCTGATTGCACTATCTCAAAAAAGATACATTAGAATTGAAAAAGGTACAGAGATGGGCAACAGAAGTGATAATGGGTATGGAACAACTCAGTATGAAGAGAGCTTTAAAAAACTGATTTTCTAGATCAGAAAATAGGTGACTTAAGAGAAGTATGATATAGGTTTATTTCAAATCATTAAGGGAGTGGTGAACATGAATAAGCAAGTATTGACTCTTCCATATAACACAAGAACCAGGGAACATCAAATAAAATTAACACGTGAAAGGTGTCATACAACCTCCCCTCCTCAAAGTACTTCTTCACACCATGCAATGTCACCTTGTGGAACTTGTTGCCAGGGGATATTGTGACAGCCAGAAGCATAACAGGGTTAAAAAAAAATTAAGTTTCTGTAGAAGGTGTTTATCAATGGCCATTAATTCAGATAGTTAGTCCATTAGTCCAGATAGATAGTGCTCTGAGTGTCCCTAAGATTCTGGCAGATTCTGGGACTGGACAACGGGGAATGGATCATTAGACAATGCCTTGTTTGGTCTATTCCCTCTGAATCATGATGCATTTCAGAAGACAGGATCTAGTATGGCTGTTCTGATGTTCCTAACAAAATGATTACCTGTTGCCTTCTACAGAAGATCCATTATTGTTATGCACCAGTTTTACAAACATTCTCTCTAAATTTGCATGCCTAAATTTTAGATTCCTGAAATTTTTGGGTGCCCCAAATCTTGGATTGATGTATGACAACTTGATTTTTGTGCTTCAGCTGGAAAATTAGATGACACTTGCTGTGCACGAATGCTCTTTGCATGCAGCAAACTTGATGTTCAAAACATTACAGATGAAAACAAGCATGATTTCTAATATTTATCATTTAAAAAGTTTGTAGTACTATACAAATGTTCCTAAAGTTTCCAGTAGAGGGTGCCAAAAACTAATAGTTCAGTTTTACTTTTCAGTTATACATTACTTACTAATTCTAAAGAAAATTAGTTTTAGAACAGTATACTCTGATGTAATTGAATATACTTAATGCACTATAGTGGCAATTAAACATTGTGCATATTACATTGTCCAAAAAGGGTTTGTGTGAGCGTATGGGGTTGGGTGGTTTGGGTGGCAGACATAAAGTATAATGTGCTATTCCAGACAAAAGGAAAATTAGCAGTACAGGCAGTCCCTGGGTTACGTACAAGATAGGGACTGTAGGTTTGTTCTTAAGTTGAATTTGTATGTAAGTCGGAACTGGTACATATTGTAGGGGAAACTCTAGCCAAACATTTCTCCAGAGCTCAGTTTTATTCTCCCACACCTCACTTCCCTCAGTCCTTTATTCTCAAGCTGAGGTGTCTTCTGAGAAAAGCCGCTCTGCGTCTCCCTGGTCTGCTGGGGGGGGCGCTAGCTTCGCGTCTCCCTGGTCTGCTGGGGGGAAGCAGCTAGTGCGGGGTTGCCTCATCCCGTTTGTAAGTAGGGATCTGATGTAAGTCAGATCCATGTAACCCGGGGACTGCCTGTATATCTGTAGTTATAACGATAGCTGGAGTGTGAAAACAATGGTGCAGGTAGATGCAATTTCACTTAAGTCAGTGGACTATGAAAAAAGGATGTATCTGAGAATGTGAGTATGTTTTCACTATTGGCTGGATCAATGGGGCAGCGATCGATACAGCGTGGGGTATGTGTGTCAATTATTGTATCTAGAATATTGCCCTCCAATGCTTTACTAGAACGAGAAGGATAAGGGCAGTTGATGGGAGAATGTTATCTATTGAGCCAGCGTGGTGTGAACCCCACTGTAGGTAGATCTTAGCTACATTGACTTGAGTTTCACTACTAACGTGAATCAAATTGCGTAGCTTAGGTCAGCTCCGTAGTGTAGTCCTGCCCAAAGAGTTCTGTTTAGAGATGTTACACAGAGGGTAATAGAATTATCGAGTAACCACATGAATTTTTATCAGTTACTCAACTATTCTATAGTTCCTGGGGTGGGGCTAGCAATCAGTGCGCTGCCAGCCCCACTCCTAAGGAGGCCCCTGCCATCCCACTTTGCTGCCTCTGTGTTAGAGGCAGCAGCACGGGGTGACAGGCAGTAGATGGTCTGTGAGAAGAGCCAGTTTAAAAACACAGCTCCCTACACAGACTAGCTGCCTGACACCCAGTGCTGCTATCTCTGATACAGAGGCAGCATAGCGGGGTGGCAGCAGTACCTGTCAGTGGGGGAGGGGGAGGTCTGAGCTGCCCGTGGACAGAGGCTGCTCTGCTTCCCATGGAGCAGCCTCTGTCTACAGCGAGTCTGGGTTTGAACCCCTGTGGACAGGGGCTGCTCCTGTGAAGCAACATCTGCCCACAGCTGTCCTAGGCTCTTTCACCACACTAGAGTGGTGCCTCTCGCCGTGGGGGCG